GGGGGTTCCTGACCCCTGCCAGGGTCCCAGGGCAGCCAGAGGGAAGCCCTGGGTTCCCACATCCCTGGAAGGTTTTCACTGAATTAACACAGAAACCCTCCCCACTTTCCTCTCTCGGACTTCAGATCCCTTTAAAACCCCCAGTGCCTTGCAAGTCCCACTCTTTATCCCTCCCTTTGCCCTGTCAGCTCCTGGGAACAGCTTCCCATTAACCCTTTGCTAACAAAAGGCATCACAACAAGGCTGGGAACCAGCTTGTGCCTGGGGGTGTGTGCTCTACCGGAGCGTGTCTCAAATTAGGCAATCCTGCTCCTGCCTTCAGAACCAAGCTGGGGAAGTATTTGTTCTGCCAAGCTTTTCAACTCGGTTTAATTTAGCTCAGTGAACTTGTCTCAGGCTCCCTGGAATGTGTCAGGTGGGGTGCATTATAAATATGCATCAGCTGAGATCATTGTCTTGCTCAAAGGACCAGCAGGGAGAAAGAGTCCGGCAAATGTCTCCGTCCACCAGGTCAGGCTAGAGGGACACACAGCCATGGCTAGCAGGAAAAAAACCCATGGCTAGCAGGACATACAGCCATGGCTAGNACAGCCATGGCTAGCAGGAAAAAAACCCATGGCTAGCAGGACATACAGCCATGGCTAGTGGGAGAAACATCCATGGCTAGCAGGACACACAGACATGGCTAACAGGACACACAACCATGGCTAACGGGACACACAGCCATGGCTAATGGGACACACAGCCATGGCTAGCAGGACAGACAGCCATGGCTAGTGGGAGAAACATCCATGGCTAACAGGACACACAGCCATGGCTAGCAGACACACCTCCATGGCTAGCAGGACACACAGCCATGGCTAGCAGGATAAACACCCATGGCTAGCAGACACACCTCCATGGCTAGCAGGACACACAGCCATGGCTAGAGGGACACACAGCCATGGCTAGCAGGACAGACAGCCATGGCTAGCAGGATAAATACCCATGGCTAGCAGGACACACAGCCATGGCTAATGGGACACACAGCCATGGCTAGCAGGATAAACACCCATGGCTAGCAGGACACACAGCCATGGCTAGCAGGATAAACACCCATGGCTAGCAGGACACACAGCCATGGCTAGAGGGACACACAGCCATGGCTAACAGACACACAGCCATGGCTAGCAGACACACCTCCATGGCTAGTGGTGTCCCTCTGGGAATGGCTGGCCTGTTGCAGCGTGGTCCCCTGGGCTCTGGGGATGGGGAATTGGCCATCAGCCCCTCCGAGGGGGTCCCTGGCCTGGCTGGTGCAAGGCTCCTCCTCTCCAAAGCCACCAGGTCACCGGGAATGACGCTTCATGGAGGGACAGCCATTCCCTCCCTTCCTGCCTCTGCCTCCATCCCCACCAGAGCCGTGGGAGAAGAGAGCAATGAACAAAACAGCTCTGCCAGAGACTGGGGGTGGGACGCCCTTCTTTTCTCCTTAATTGTAATCCTGTGAATTAATTCAGCTTCCAGCAGGAACGAGGAGTTTCCCAGCAGCCCTCAGACATCCAGATAAGGCTGAGCTGTTTGTTGAGCCCCTCTGGGTTCTCTGCTACCTGCCTCACTGCCAACTACTTCACACCAACTTTTTTTCCTTCTTTTTTTTTTTATTTTCTTTTTTAATTTTTTTTTTGAGAGAATTTTAGGTTGCTCAAGCATGACAGAGCACGGGGGTTTGCATTCTTAATTGGCAAAGCCTTTTCCCACTCCCGTTTGGAGGCCCCTGAGCTGTCCTGCCAATTTATTCCGATCCTGATTCACAAGCCTTGCAGACATCTTCCCAAGGCTGCCCAAAAGCTGTGAATCCTCATCTGGCACTTCTGGGCATCTCCTGAGGTTCTTCTGGTGTTCTCTTTGACTTGAAATGTCCTTTTTTGCAGCCACCCTCCCCTACAGAAAAGCTCTGGTGGTGCCCTCCAAACTGTACCGACCACAACCCTTCCCCAGGGGGAAATAAATAGTGGATAGAGATTAAAAAATAGGTTTGAAAGGAAAAAAAATAAAAAAAGTAAGAGGGAAGAGCAAGCTTAAAGTGAAGTTTCTCTCTAATTCTCGTTTTTCTCTATCCTGGGCACTTTCCTGCTCTCTCAGGACCTTCTTCCCTCATTTATCTTCCTCACCTCCTGGGGTTTCACTGTCACCTCTGCCACCTTCCTGCCTGGAGCCCTGCAGAGCCATCAGCAGCACTTCAGAGTGGCTGTGACTGTCCCCAGCAAGGCGAGCTGCAGGGGTAGGGGCAGGATTTGTTGTCACAGGGCTGTGCCATGCCCTGGTGCTTGTCCCTAAAGGCCACACAGCCCTGGGATGGGCTCTGACACCGGGATGTTCCTACAGAGAGCCTGGCAGGGAGAGGGATTCTCATAAACACCCAAATATCTGCAATTCTCCTTGTGTTCATACACGAGCCTGGCAGGGAGAGGGATTCTCACAAACACCCAAATATCTGCAATTCTCCTTGTGTTCCTACACAGAGCGTGGGAGGGAGAGGGATGCCCACAAACACCCAAATATCTGCAATTCTCCTTGTGTTCATACACAGAGCGTGGGAGGGAGAGGGATGCCCACAAACACCCAAATATCTGCAATTCTCCTTGTGTTCATACACAGAGCGTGGGAGGGAGAGGGATGCCCACAAACACCCAAATATCTGCAATTCTCTTTGTGTTCCTTCATTCTCTCACCCCTATCCTCCCCTCACTGCTCTGTATTCATCTCTCCCTCTTCTGCTGTATTTCCCCCACCTCAAAATTTTCTCAGCTCCTTCCTGCTGTCACCCAGCCTCGCCTGACTTCTTGGAGATCCATTTTATGTATTTATTTCTTTTCCCTCTTTCTCCTTCCACCCTTTCCCCTCCCCTACACTGCTGATTTACAGCAGCAGCGGGAGGCTGATGTTCTCTGCTCGCTCCCTGCCATCCCGAGAGCCATCAGGGGCCAATCCATCACAGAAACGCCCCAGCCAAAAAGTGACTGGGACATTCTTTACAGCCACAATCCCAAATTCTGGCCTGGGAGGGCTCTGCAGTGAGATGTCAGCTGTGAGAGAGCTGTCTGGAGGCACAAATATTATTCACAAGGTGTTGTGGCTTATGGAGGAGGGAAGAGAAGTGGCTGCCACCGCGGGTTCTGATGGCTCCAGCATCCTGCCACCAAAAACAGAGCTCGGAGCTCTTCATGAGGAGCAGGGAAGGCAGGGGGAGGCTGGGGTGGCAAAGTTTGGCAGGAGAAAAGCAGGATTTTGTGGGAAAGGGAAGAATGGGACATTGGTGTCAGAGCAATTCCCAGCGTGGGGCTGGGAGCTCCGGTGCTCTGTGCAATCTGGGGTGGAGCGGAGCAGGGGGGGTTCCCAGGGAGATGTTTGCACACCTGAGTTCACTCCTGGCTGGCAGCAGCAAATCTGAGAGCTGGGGAAGGCTGGCTGGGAGGGGAGATCTGGGAATACTCACTTGGAAATGATCCAGCACAGCCCTTTTGAGACTGCAGCTGGCACAGGGGGGTTTATGGATAAGCAAGTGCTGCATCCCTGGAGGTGAAGTGGGAGTTAAAGGCAGGTTTTTCACCCTGAAAAGTCCTGGATTCGTCATCCTGTGTGGTTTGGGAATGTGTGCAGATGTTTTATAGCCACATGCATTTCGTTTTACTACTTTGCACGTGGAAAGCAGGCCTAATTCTGAGGCCTTGGGGATGGGTAGTTTAGGGAAGATTCTGGTACCCAAAGCCAAAATTGTTGCAGAATAAGATCAATTATCCCAGTCTGGTCTCTAAGAGCACCCAGTAGCCAGGGCATTAAGAAAAGTACAAAAATTAGATGTGACAGACAAGTTCTACAAAGCCCCTTGTTCCCTCATCCCTGTCTTGCTCCCCTCCCCTGAATATCTTTTCCTCCTCCTCCTCCTCCTTCTTCCTCCATCCCAATTATCTCCTCCTTTCATCACTGCCTGAGTTGTAAGTACAAAGTACCAATTAGCTGGTTTTCAAGTTTAATTAGGTTGGAAGGTAGAGCAAATTAAATCCTTTTATCGCAGGTTTCAAAGCGCTTTTCCCATCGGGATGGGTTTCCTTTGGATGAGGCCCGTGTTTGTCACCAAGGAGCTGGCCCAGGTCACCGAGCAGGGGACGAAATGCAAGACTGGGTCTGTCTCCCTCCTGCCCCTAAATCCTGCACTCAGAACGTCTCTTTTTGGGAAGGATTTGGGGTGCACAAACCTCTGCTGCGCCTCAACCAATTGAGCATTGCTCCTTTTGCTCCTCAGCTCGTTTCAAGAACATTCCAGCAGCACCAGGAATTCAGTGAGGGCGCTGGGACAAAGCCCAGCAGAAGGCTTTCAAAATACTTCAACAGTATCAAGCAGCAGGCCCACATGAATGCTTGGAAGCACCTTTATTCCCTAAACCCTTCTTCCTTTGAGGCCTGAACAAAGGCAGGAAAGCGGATCCAGGAATAAACACCTGAGGATGAAATTGCAGAGCGGAGTGAGGAAGTGTTTAACTCTTGGAGACACAATTGTAGCCACGATTTCTCTTCCTCTTGAGCTCTGAGCAGTGCATTTCAATAGGATCTGCCTCCCTCCATGGAGCTGCTGGGCAGGGATGTCACAGTGAGCTCCTGGGCACCCTGTGCCCCCTTCCCCGGGACCCTGTGGCTCTGCTCAGATAACCCTGGACCCTCCTTCCTGCCCCAAGGGGAGAGCCAGGGAAGCCCACCCTGTCCAAAGTCTGTGCAGACCCCTGACAATTCCTGTTCTCTTTTGCCCCTCTCTCCACATGGACACCACAGAATAAAGAGAGCTGAATCAATGTATTTTGGGGTAAGAGCCTCTTTTGGGAATCTTTGCCATCTCCTGATATTCCTCCCCTCACAGCCTTGGATATCTGGGCTAGCTGATATTCAGGGGGTTGTGTGAGGTGGGAACGTCACAGGGACACTGGGGCAAGCTCCGGGATTCATCCTCACCTTTGCTCCTGGAATCCCTGGCGGTGCCCGCACCACCCCAACTGCGTTTTTGGTGTTCTAACCCTTTCCCCCGTGCTTCCCTGTGTGTTGCAGACAAGCCACTACCTCAGAGTGCCCCGGGAGGCATCATCGGGATCGTGGGAGGCGTCATCGCCGCCGTCTTCATCATCGGCGTGGCCGTCACCGTCATCATCGTCTACAGGCGGCAGCAGAAGAGCCGCTCCGGCACGGACCACGACCTGTGAGTGGCACAAGCACTGCCCACCCCACTGCAGGTCCCTGGGGATGGGGGACAGCACCTCTGGCCCTTCCTCCACCTGCACAACTTGCTGGCAAAATGTTTTCCTGCTGCTTCCGTCTCGTTCCTCTATCAGCTTCCCCTCCTTGGGGCTTCCCGGTGCTTCCCATCCTGCTGGCTGCTGTTTCTGAGCTCTTAGCACAGCCCAAAGTGGGAGTTGGAGCACAGGGATGCTCCACCAGGTGCTGGATTTGCTGTGGCACATCCTTGGGGCAGGGGCTCGGTGCCACTGTGCCCCTCCGTGGGTAGAGGAGGATCCTCTTCCTCCTTTCCCAGTGACTTTAGGCTCCTGAATGAGACTGAATCCCATCCTGCCACCAGAGAGTGGCTTCTGCTAGATCCTGAGCACCCCTGAATGCATCCCAAAGTGTCTGGAAAGGCTTCACATCCACCAGCATTGCTGTTTTGCAACTATGGGTGACATAAACTCTGTCAACAGCAGGGACAGAGGCCAGCACAGGGGCTCCTCTTTGGAGCTGGGCTTTGCTCTGCCCAGCACAGGGCAGCCGAGATCCCAGGCAGGGAACTGGGTGGTGTGGAGGTCCCTTTGTGCAGCAGGAACCTCTCCAGGAGCATTCAGGGCTCTGCTGAACAGCTCCATCTTGTCACCAGCTCTTCACCTCCTCCCTCCCCGCCTCGCAGGGGAGGCAAAGCCCAGCACCCAGAGGTTGCTTTTATGTTCCCCCACCCCCCACCTCATTGTTGTCACACCTTGGGCACATTTTGTGCTCCATTTAATCCCATTTGAGAGAGGGCACTGGAGGATAGCGGGAGAGGAGCGGGGGAAGCGGCAGGAGAGGCAGAAAGGCACACAAACAACAAAAACCAGCACCACAAGGTGAAATTGCATCAACAGCAGCGGGCCTGTGATGGAGATGCATTCTGACAATCCACTTCCCACAATGGCCCTCCACCAGGCTCAGGGAAGAGCCACTTTAGCTGAGAATAGAAACACAACCGTGCCCGGCTCTGCCGAGGTGCTGCCTCTATTGTGGAGGCTGATCCCGAAGGTAATAGCATTTCTTTTCTGCAGAGCCACGAAGTCAATGTTTTACAGAGCCCCGGGGACCTGTGCTGCCCTCCCTGCCACCAGAACATTCCAGTCCCACGCTGGAATCCAAGGGAAGGCGCCCATCTCCATCAGATCCGTGGAGTCTGCACGGGGAGAAGGGAGGGGGGCAGCCAGCTAATTAGTGGATCAGAGTTTTAATAAGTTTTGTAAAAGGATTAGACACATCTGTGCATGTGAACAGAATGTGCAGAGACAGTCTCCAGGCTGGGATTACCGTGGCTGCCAATCCCAATGCTCTGGGGTAAGAGCTGATCCTTGGCGAGGGTCGGGGATAAATGTCCCTGCCTGGCAGAGCGTGGCCGTGAGGAGGATTCAAACTCCTCCCGGGAAGCCGTGGCAGGGCTGGCATGGCAGAGAAATGCCAGGCTGGGGCTGGCATCACCTCGTTATCGCTTTCTGGTACCTCAGAGCCGTGGCACAAACACCTCCCAAGGGATGGTTTGCAGTTATCCCAGCTGCAGCCTCGGGATCTGCCCTCGGACACGGGGATTTGCCTGGAATAGGGACAGAACGCTTGGAGGGAGTTTATTTCCATGAACAGTTCTAATTGGGGTGAGACAAAGGGCACGGGGGAGTTCCTGAGGATAATCTGTGTGATTGTATTGGCAGTTTGGTGACAAACACAATCAAATCCTTGGGCACATCAAAGCAGCAGAACCTTTTCTCCTGCTTCTCACTCAGCAGCCTCTCCTGTCCCTGCAGGATTGACCTCCCTCCATCCCACAAACCTGCCCCTCCACCAAGGAGGAAACAGGACACGAAAAGCCACCTGACTCCAGAAGACATCCAGGTAAAAACCTGCAAATTCCTGCCTCTGGCATGGAAAACTGATCCCGAGCAGCGTCCACAGTGCCTGGATTTTGGGAAATGGGGCTTGCAAGAGCAAAGAAGTTCCTGGATTGAGTTTGAGGGGCAGAAAATTAGGATTTTTCACAGCTAGGTTGCATGGGACTCTGAGAAACTTGGTCCAGTGGGAGGTTTGAACTGAATTATCTTTAAGGTGCCTTCCAACCCAAACTGTTCTATGACTCTGTGATTCTGTGAGTCTGTGACTCGTCCCCCCAGAATTCCAAGTCTAGCATTAATTAAAAGCTGTAATTTGGATTCTGCTCTGCCCCTCTGGTGGACAGTGGAGTCTGAAGGGGTTGGTGTTGGGTTGTGGTGTCACCTGAAGCAGAGCTTTCCCCAAGCTGTGCCAGAGGATAACCCTTGCTCTTCTCATCCTTCTCCTGTCCCCCCTGCTCCAGGTTGTTCACTTGGACAACATGAAACACGAGGAGGAGATCCAGAAGTTCCCTCTGCAGACTCCCTACTACGACACGGCCGCCCCTGAGCCCTCTCCCTACAGCGACACACTGGTAAGGAGCTCAGGGTGACAGTGGCACTGCCTGGCACCCCACCTGGCACGCAGCACCCACGGCTCTCCCATCCTGCAGGACAGCAGCCGCCACACTCTGGTCCCAGCTCACCCTGATTCCAGAGGTCCCACAGCTGTGCCTTGATGGGTGAAATGCCCTGCCCACCCCGAATTCTCTACCTGCAACCCACCTACCCCACGCTCAGCTCCTGCAAGGAGCCCCTGTTGGGGTTTGCAGCTGAGGGAAGCAGCAGGGAGAGCTTCACAAAGCAATTATCTGCAGGGCAGAGCGTGCCAGCGTTTGACTCTCACTTGACAACAACAAGTTATTTAAACCTCTTTTTTTTTTTTTTTTTTCTGGTGTGTGGATTTGTTCAGCCTCAGATGGGAGATGTTAATGTGAGGCAGCAGCAGCAGGGAGAGATTAAGGGTCAGGAGGAGATGCTGGCAGTCACATGGGAAAGGCTGGTTTGCAAGGAGTGAGGGCATGTTAGATGTGAAGGCGTAGGGAACAGAAAACAGGTGAGATTAGAGTGAGTTTTTGATGAGAAAACAGAAAACCATCCCCCTGCCAGGCCTTGGACAGCATCCTTTCCCTCCCTCACCCCATGGCATGGGGATACTCTGGATTTTTTGCCACAGCAGACAAGACATCCCATTGTAAATCCTTTGGGTCTCTCCCAAACTCCTCCTCAGCAGGAGTTCAGAGCACTGCACACGCAGCCTGGTGCTTCAGCAGAGTCAACTCCCAGCCTGGAGAAAGGTGCAGAAACATCAGCCCAGACTGGAGTAGCTTTTTATGAACATCACTAATTATAGCCCCGTCCATCCCAGAGTGACCCTGCCACGTGTGCTCCTGTGCAGATAATGGAAGGACAGGGCCCAGTGACCTTTGGCTGGCACAAGTCTGAAGCCGGGGGTGCTGGAAATCAAAAGGCACAGTTCTGTGCTGAGCCGGGTGGATGTGATCCTACTGACTTCATCCCTAAAGGAAAACTTCCCCTTGGAGCCCTCCCTCAGCCCTGGGGCTGCTCCCCAGCTCTTTCTGCTCCTTGCTGAGTTTTAAATGAAGCACAGGATTTTGGAGCGAGACCACTGCTTGAAAAGCATCTGAAAGCTGCATTTCAGGCAAGCGGGAGGACGGAGGAGCTCATTTTGGGAAATAACGAGCAGTCAGTTAATTAAGTGGCTGAGTTAGCGATGCGAGATGGGGCCTGATGGGTTGCTGCTCCGTAACCATGGCAACAGAGTTTGCTGCTCTCCATCCTGGCCGGAGAAGCATTTCCATGTCCCAGGTCTGGAATTTCCATGTCCTAGGCCTGGCATTTCCGTGTCCCAGGCCTGGCATTTCCATGTCCTAGGCCTGGCATTTCCATGTCCCAGGCCTGGCATTTCCATGTCCTAGGCCTGGCATTTCCGTGTCCCAGGCCTGGCATTTCCATGTCCCAGGCCTGGCATTTCCGTGTCCTAGGCCTGGCATTTCCATGTTCCAGGCCTGGCATTTCCATGTCCCAGGCCTGGCATTTCCATGTCCCAGGTCTGGAATTTCCATGTTCCAGGCCTGGCATTTCCGTGTCCCAGGCCTGGCATTTCCGTGTCCCAGGCCTGGCATTTCCGTGTCCCAGGCCTGGCACCGGCCGCTCCTCACCCGTGGATTCAGCCAGAGGGTGATGGACTGTGGAGATCTCCTTTCACTTGACCTGTCAGCATTCAGAAACACACGTAATCATAGGATATGATTATCTGCAGGTGTTTTATTGAGAGCTCTGGGAATCAGGGGTACAGACCCAAATCTGACTCCGACATGGCTTTCGAGCTGAACGTATTTTATATTCTATCCTTATATAACTTACATATTAATTATTAAACTTATATTGTTCTATTGTATACATTGACATGAGTTTCTCACGATCTTTCTTAGATCCCTGACCACAGTTTCTCATGATTAAACAGTAATTATATTTAATTACTAAACAACCATCACGTCTAACAATTATATCATTTATCATGTACTAGCTACACAGCTGCAGTTCTAGCAAGTACTAGTTCTTCACGTGCTTAATGTATTTATTTTTCCAGGGCCTACTAAGCTTATTTTCCTGTTAATCCTAAACCCCCATGATTTTAAACCCCTTTTACTATCAGGCCCACCAATAACTGGCTCTGCAGCAAGGACGGGGTGTCTGGGGGGCTGCAGCTCCTGGCAGGGGCCTGGCACAGCTGTGGCAGAGCCCTGTCCCTGGCCTGGCACGGACCTGCGCCGTGCCCTGGCTCCCTGCCCCAGCAGCAGGGTGCAGCCTGCTCCCATTCCTCGCTGAATCGCTGCATCCTTCGGGCAGGCAGCTGCCTGGTGCACTTTGGGGCTGCCAAGGGACACAGGGCTGGTCCTTGTGCTGATTTTGCTGCATTCTTCCCAGGTCACACAGGCAGGACGTGCTGCCTCAGCCAGGCCAGGGCTGGGCTGGGCTGTCCGGCCACGCTTTGCAAAGGAACAAGCTTTGCCTTCCTCCCTGCAGGGAAAAAAAAAAAGTGGCTTGCATCACTTTTTTTCACCCTTAAAGCGCTGCAGAAGCTGCCTTTTGATGTCACAGTGGGAAGCCCCAGGGAACAGCAGTGGTTAGCAAAACCACCATGGGATGGAGCAAGACCTGCCCAGTCCTTCAGCTGAGGGCTGGGCCAGCTGGAGGATGAGGAGGGAAGCGCATCCCTGCTCCCTGCCAGCCCCACTTTGGCACAGCCCTGCTCCCAGCTGCTCACAATGCAGATGCAGGCGGCTGCTCCGGGGTATCCGTGGTTCTGGGATCCCCGAGAGGGAAAGGCATGGCAGAAAGGCAGGATATTCTTGTTCTGCCTGTGCCTCGTCTGCAGATTTGGTTTTGGGAGGGGAGTGAAGGAGATGAGAGTGGAAGGGAGCAGATTCTGCAGGAAAACGGGGCGGGCGCGTTCAGCTTTGAACGAATCGTGCAAAACCTCGTAATTTGGGATAAAGCAGATTGATCACGAGGCGGCATGAAAGCCACGACGGTTTAACAGCACTGGGATGGGAGTCAGGGAGTGATTAGAGATGGCAAAGAGTGAGGGAGGGGGGAATGGGAGAAATGCCAGGAGGAAATCAAAGAGGCAGGTGGAGGAGGAACCTCCAGGAGGGTGTGCAGGGACGTGCGTGTGGACGTGTGCTGGCAGGGGACCAGGACAAAGGGAGAGGCTGGGGCACGTCTGCAGGGTCAGGATGGATGCAGGAGGGAGCAGAGCCATGAAGGAATCTGTGTTTTTAGGTGTTGCAAAGCCAACGCAGATCTGACAGCCCCAAACTGCCCAAGGACAGTGGCACGGACAGGCTGCAGGGGTGGTGTAGGGGGGCAGGAGCTGCCTGCAGGGTTTTTTTTTGGGCAGTTTTGGGGTAACAGTGAGGATATCAAAGCAGGAGAGCGTGTTCCAGGTGTGTGGGGTGAAGGCAGGTGTGCTCTGCCAGTGCTTTTGTGTGTGCGAGAGGCAGCAGGAGCCAGAGAGAGGAGGAGGCACAAACACAGCTGTGATTAGTGTCCGTGTCAGCAGGGCCCATTTGCACAGGTAGAAGGGGAAGTTTCATTGCTGCAGACAGCAAAATAATTTCTCTGGGTTTGCAGGGCAATTACCGGGGTGCCGGTGGTGATGATTTACACCGAGCGCTTGCGTGAGGCAGTGCTGGGCCTTGTATACAAGGCACATTATTGATATTGTAATAAATTCTGCTCCAAACAGGCAGCAAGGAGCAGGAGCGAGCCCAGGAGTGGGAGAAAGCAAGGGAAATCCATGGAGAAAACACCTCCTGTGGGAAGGAAGCAGGAGAGGGGTGAGGCAAAGTAGGCAGGAGAAATGAGGAGATAAAACTTAGTCTGGCTTCCTCCAGGAAGGTGCTGAGACACAAAATTCAGGAGGAGAGAGCTCTGCAAGGCCTGGATTTAGGTCTGAGGCTGGAGTTGGCATTGCTAATTTTCCTAAATGTCCAAATTCCAGGTCCAGACACGAAGCAGAGGCTCCGTAGGATGTGCTGCTTGCATGCCAGCAACTCGCCACTGCCATCTGGCCACCAAGGGCAGGACAGAGGTGACCTCCAGCCCTCTGCTCCCCCAGCCCCCAGCTTTGCTGAGCTCTGGGAATGCTGCTGCAGCCCCGTTCCCCTCCATTCCCCTCATCCTTGTGGCTGAGGGGCAGATCAGGGAGCCAAGCCCTGGCACGGGCCAGCGCAGCAGGCAGAGATAATCACTGAGTGAACAGCCCCTTCCAGCAACAGGCACTCAACCAGCTCATTACAGGGCTATAAACTTCTAAAAACGGCTCAGCCACAGCTGCTAGGCGGCTGAGGACACTTCCAAACACAGAGGAGAGGAACACTTTCAAATTAAACACCTTTTGCACCGCTGCCATGCGGTGCAGCCATTCTGGAAAGGGGAGAGAGAGACTGGAAAGCTGTTTTGTTTGCAGGAGACACCTCTCTCCTCTCAGAGAGGCTCAGCAGATGCCTGGCTAATGCTGGCACTGAAAGAAGCCCCAAAAGTGAGGATTAAAGAAGCCAGGATCCCCCTCACACCGTGGCTGCTGGCACCAAGGCTCCTCCTGGTGATCCTCACTCTCCCCTGAGCCACCAGCTCCGGGCTCTCCTGCCTTCCAGGCTTCTCCCATTGTTATCTGCATGAAAGATGTTTGGGTAGGAACGACCAGACAAATTGGATAATATTCCATTCATGCAGTCCTTGCTGATAAGCCTGCTTAGTGAAGGAATACCCATAAATATTTCCATGCCAAAGGAGGATGCTTTTAGCATCTCTCAGACCCTGTTATAATGACAAAACCGTGCTGCAGAGGCAGACTGCAGTGCCAAGCTGTGCAGCCAAGCCTTGTGCTAAACGAGGCTCTTCAGCACTCCACAGCGTCCCCACATTGGGGCAGAACAACACTGACATTCCCTCTGGCCATGCCTTTGGAGTTTTGGCTTTAAAGCTGTTCCTTCCCAGTATCTCCTTCCCAAAACCCCAAATTTCAAACCAAGGATTTTCACTCACGTTCCCCAAACCTGAGTTTGCAAGGAATCCCAAACTCTTGGGTTAGAACCGGCAGCTCAGGTGCAGGGAAAGGTTTGAAGTCACTGATCCAGCCCCAGCTAAGGAAAATGCTGATCCCAGAGGGGTTCAGTGGGAGAGCAGAGCAGTGAGATGCTGCTGGGAGCAGCCCCAGTGAAAGGGGCGGTGGCTGGGAGTGTTGGCTCACTCAGCTCTGCTTTCGGGGGACTTTTGCTTTGATTTGGGATTTTACCTTACTGATTATTCACTACCTCCCTACCTCCTTCTTTTTAACTGTTTTTTTTCTTACTCCTCCCCTGTTTTCTTCACCCTTTTCTTCTTTCTTCCCCCTTCGTGTCCTGTCTCACCCCTCACCATCTGCACGGACCCTCTGTCCTCACCCCCCACCTCGCCCCCACTCCTCCCTCGTGTCCCCCCACCGCCTTGCTGCTCTCTTCTCTCCAGAACCCTGGCAACAAGGACGGTGATGTCCAGTATGCAGAGCTGGACACGTCGGCTCTGGCCGCGTCACCCAGCCCTCGGAGCTCCATCCCTGCTGGCGGAGACCTAGTCGAGTATGCAACCATCCAGCCCAACTTACGCTAGCGCATGCCACTCTAGGCCCTTTCCCCTCAGATTCTGGCCTCAAGGTACTCACGGCACTGTGCCTTCCTCACTGCACCCCTCAAAGCCACTGCTCCCCCATCCCTGCCTTCCTCCCTCCCTCTGGAGCGCTGCCTCTGCGTCCCGTCTCTCCCTCCCTGCCTGCTCTCTCTCTGTCTCTCTGCTGCCCTGTTTTGTTGGTTTTGGTTTTTTTTTTGGGGGGTGCTGCCCTTGCCTTGCCTCTCTGCATGCTCTTTTTGCTGTTTTTTCCCTTTGCTTCCTGCAGCCAGGCATGTGGGGCAAGGGGGAGAGGGTTCACGGCGTGGTGGCAGAGCAGGGGTTTGCTCCCTGCTCCAGGTGGGTTTGAAGTTCCTGCTCAGGTTCAGGGAATTTCTGCAGCACCTGTGAGGAATCAGAGATGCTAAGAGGGCTTTTCCAGGTCAGGATGAGGAGGGGAGGGAAAAGGAAAAGGGAGTGATTGAAAGGAAAATTTAAAAAAGAAAGGTTTGTGTGCATGTGGAAGTAACTCTAGAGAAGATGGAGCATATGTGCATGTGTGAAAGAACAAGGTGGGAGAGGATGTGACAGAATATGGGAGCACCTAAAGGTTCCCACAGCTGAAAGACTCCGTGGATAAGACACAGGCAGGGAGGGACTCTGCATGTGACAGTGACAGGGCTGGCGTGGCATCAGGTTGGTGCAGGTGGCAAGTTCGGATGCTTGGGAGAGAGGGAGAGATTATTTTCCTTGGTGTTCTCCTTCTCAAAACCAGGCATAGACTGAGCTCTGCTCTCCTGACTTTTTCAAGTGTCACCAAACTCATTCAAGCTGAGGTCCCATGGCAGGGAGTGATTTGGACTTGGTTGTTCTGGACCATCTCCAGTAAACCTCTGAATGTGGATTTTTTTTAGTGGAAAAACCACTAAAACTGGGGTGACTTCAGCTCTTCCTATGTACCTTTGCCTCATAATCACAGCTTTTTCTCAGCTGTTAAAGCCACCAGGACCTTGAAAGGGAGAAATCTCTCCTTTCCTACCTCTTCTGGATGATTCCAAGAGTTTTTGGCCAAGGAAATGCCACTGGTGCCCCTCTCCTTGGCTCCAGCTCTCCCTCGCTCCTGTGTATTCCTGAGGTTGTGGTGACTCCAGGTTCTGCCTTGTTCCTTCCCCTTTGTTTTGCTGCATTTCTAGCAGCAGGAAGGACCTGGGGTTTAAAGGAAGGGAGAGGAGAAAAGGAAGACAGCAAATGGAGAGGTGCTTTGCAGGTCCTTAAATCGCTCCTGGTCACTCCAGGTAGATCAGAGGAGGTGGGGACAGAGAGG